ATTGTCGAGTACGAGGAGTACGAATCGCCTCTTGTTTGACAATAATATGCTTGCGAGGACACTGGGGAACTGGTGTAGATGAAGGGGTTGTATGTATTTGAGGAGATTTAGAAGAGGGCATAGTTTTTGGAGGCGATGAAATAGGGTTAGAGGTTTGGGGGTTTTCTAGGAGAATGGAGGAAGGAGATGGTGGGGAATAAAATTGGTGGTGGTGGTCGGCTATTGGTGATGGTGGTGGACTGGGTTCCCCCTGAGTAGTTGCCGGAGTTTCTGATGTGAAGGTAGGTTCATCATCGGAGTAGTCGACGAGAATGAGAGAGGAAGACATTTTTTTCTTTTGTGTGTGTGGGGAAGATAAAAGGTTTTATGGGGAATGGAAAGGTAATAATGATGAATCGGTACTTTGAACAACCCTGAATAGAATTCAAAACGACGGCAGTCACATCGAAGAGACGTTGGAGTTTTAATGTGACTCTATATATTTCCCGCCCAAACAAAAAGTTAATAAGGAGAACCAGGTTGAAAATATAAGAACCTGAGTCGGTGGTGAGTAGAACCTGGTTTTTTTAGTTCTGAAATACAAGTCCAAAAGATAGACGATTTTTAAGGAATGGTTCTCGCCCAAGATCCTTAGTAAAGATGTCAGCAAGTTGATTCTCAGTAGCACAGAATTTCATTATGATAAATCCTTTTTCAACATTGTCTCTCAGAAAGTGATGTCGAATGTCAATATGTTTAGTGCGTTTGTGTTGGACCGGGTTCTTTGCCATATTAATAGCATTAGTGTTATAACACATAATAGGAATGCAACCTGTCTTAATCCCAAAGTCTTCTAACTGTTGCTTTATCCATAATAATTGTGCACAACAAGATGCAGCTGCTACATATTCTGCCTCTGCTGTAGAAAGGGCAACTGAATTTTGTTTTCTAGTGGCCCATGAGACAAGACACGGTCCTAGAAAGTTAGCCATTCCAGAAGTACTTTTTCGGTCAACTAAGTATCCAGCATAGTCAGCATCAGCAAATCCTATTAAATCAAATGAGTCTCCTGATGGGTACCATAGCACCAGGTTCACAGAACCTTTGAGATACATAAGTATTCTCTTTACTGCTTTTAGATGAGATTCTTTAGGACATGACTGAAATCTTGCACAAAGTCCAACACTAAACATAATGTCGGGTCTGCTTGCAGTTAGGTACAAGAGTGATCCAATCATACCCCTGTATTTTGTATCATTGACTGGAGAACATGCTTCATCTTTGTCTAACTTTGTTGTAGTGCCAATGGGAGTGTCAATTATCTTTGCTTCATTCATGTCAAATTTTTTCAGTAGTTCATGAATATACTTATGTTGATGAATGGATGTTCCTGTAGGAGATTAATCAATTTTAAGACCTAGGAAGAAAGTTAGTTCTCTCATCATACTCATCTCAAATTCACTACTCATGAGTTTTGCTAACCCAATTCCAAGTGAGGGGTCAGTTCCACCAAATATGATGTCGTCGATATAAATTTGTACAATAAGCATATCTGAACCTTGTTTTTTAAGAAAGAGAGTATTTTCTATTTATCCACGGGAGTAACCATGTTTTAGAAGAAATGTGGATAGACGATCATACCATGGTCTTGGATCATGCTTTAGTCCGTACAATGCTTTTTCTAACTTGTAGACATGTTTAGGTTTGTTTGGGTCCTCAAAACCAGGGGGTTATTTCACAAACACTTCTCCTTGTAGAAAACCATTCAAAAATGCACTTTTTACATCCATCTGAGAGAGTTTGAATTCCATATGGGCTGCAAAAGCAATGAACATTCTTATAGCTTCCATTCTTGCCACTGGTGCAAAGGTTTCATCATAGTTGATTCCTTCTTCTTGGTTGTAACCTTGAACCACTAGTCGAGCTTTGTTCCTAATGATCTGACCTTGGCCATCTAATTTGTTTCTGAAAACCCATTTAGTACCTATGAAAGTTCGATCATGTGGTCTGGGAACCAGGTTCTAGACTTTGCTTCTTTCAAACTGACTCAATTCTTCTTGCATAGCAATAATCCAGTCTGGATATCCCAAGGCTTCTTTAATATTTTTGGGAAAAATTTGAGATAGATAAGTTGAGAAGGCACACATATTTCGTACTCTAGATCTGGTATGAATCCTTGATTCCAATTCTATGAGGATGTTTTGAATGGGATGAGAACTTTGATGTTTCCAGCCATGAACTTGAGGATTTTGAGTTGATTCAGATGTTGGAATATCTGATGTTTCTCTTTGTCTCTGTTGGTGTATTTTCAATTTCTTGAGGATTTGACTTATTTGTGGTGTTATCCTCATCTGATTGTAAATCTTCAGTGGTTTTGGAGGATGTTCAACAAGATTATTCAATTCTTCTACTATGCCTTCATAAAAAATAATATGCATGCTATCTTCCACTCGATTTGTTCTTTTGTTGAGTACTTTATATGCTTTGCTTTGTGTTGAATATCCTAAGAATATTCCTTCACTCTTGGCATCAAATTTTCTCAAATTATCCTTTCCATTATTGTGCACGTAACACATGCATCCAAATGGACGAAGATGTGCTAAGCTAGGCTTTCTTCCCTTAAGTACTTCATACGGGGTTTTATTCAAAAAAGTCCTTATTGTGCACCTGTTTATCAGATAACAAGCAGTGTTTATGGCCTCTGCCCAATAAAACTGTGGTAGTCGCTTGCTATTAGCATGGTTCCAACGACATCTTCAAGAGTTCTGTTTTTACGCTCAACTACACCATTTTGTTGCGGAGTTCTTGGTGCAGAAAAATTGTGATCAATTCCATTTGTACTGCAAAAATTTAAGAATTTTGAGTTTTCAAAATCTGAACCATGATCTGATCTTATGTTGATGACTTCTGTATTGAGTTTCTTCTGAACTAATATGACAAATATTTCAAATACTTCATAAGTTTCATCTTTTGTTGCCAAAAACATAGTCCAAGTAAACCTTGAGTAGTCATCAACTATTACAAGAATGTATCTTTTGCCTCCTCTACTTATCACACGCATTGGTCCACATAAGTCTATGTGAAGCATCTCTAGAGGTTTTGTGGTGCTAATCATTCCCTTTGGTTTAAAAGATGATTAAGATTGTTTCCCTTTGACACATGCACCACAAAACTGTTCACTTTGTAAAATTTTGTTCGGCAATCCTCTAACCAGATTTTTTGATATTAGTTTATTAATCGTAGAGAGGCGAATATGTCCTAGCCTTTTGTGCCAACGGGCAGAGTTTTCAGTGAGAGCACTGAGGCAACTAAGTGAATTTTTTGAACTTATTATTTCAGTTGTGTATACATTCTTGTGTCTCTTTCCCAAAAGTACCAGTTCCTCAGTTGTTGAGTTTATCACTCTACATTCACATGCTGTGAATACTACCTTGTTCCCTTTGTCGCACATTTAATATAAGCTTAGTAAGTTATGTTGAAGCCCATTTACGTAGTATACATCATCGATGGCTTGTTTGAGATTGATTCCTACCTTTCCAATTCCTTGTATTTCCCCGGTTTTTCTGTTTCCAAAGGCTACTTTTCCACCCTTAACTCGTTTCAGTGAGAGAAAGTTATCTTGATTTCCTGTCATATGTCTTGAGCAGGCGCTATCCAAGTACCAGTGCTTTCCTTTTTCTCTCACTGAAGCCTGCAGTTTTATTCAGATCGAGTTAGTTTTGGTACCCAAATCCACTTAAGTGCCTGTTTGTGATTAAAGGGATGTTGAGAATTTTTCTAGCCCATCTGGGAAGAACTTTAGATGTAGAACCAGGTTCAGGATCAGTTTTCTTTTTGACTCTTTCTTAGAAAGGAAATTTTTTTCTGATGAGCAATTTGTTTTTTGTCACATGCATGACTCTTATGTCTTGTCAACCCACACTGAGAGCATACAGTCTATGTTAGGATTTTTTGTTTCAGAAAAACCTATTCCATGTCTTGAACTAGATTGAATTTTATGAAGACTATCGAGAATTATGGAGGGCCTGTTCTACCTCATACTGTTCTCTGCTTCTTGTTCAGTCGTGTTCAGTTTCTTTTGTAAGGCTTGATTTTTTAAGAAGCTAGAGTTTAAATCTTTTTCTAGTTCTACTTGTTTATTGAGCAGGGAATAGTTTTGTTGTTCTAAAGTCATGTTTTCTTCTCTTAGAGATGTGTAATATTCCATTAGCAGTTCTTTTTCATGTCAGGTTGACTCATATGACTTAATTACAGTTTGCAAAAGTGACTTTAGCTCTCTTTTAGTATAGATTTCCAAGTTTTGTTTAGAGAAAATTGAGCTAACCTGACTGTTTTGGTCTTCTTCTTCTTCCTCGGAATCTGAACCAGCTATTAGAGCATGAATTGTATCTTGTGCTTGACAAGTACTTTCTTTGTCTGCTTCTTCAGTTATTGCTACTAATGTAAGAAAGTCGTAATTGTCTTCTTGCTTTATTGCAAGTAGAGATTGATTCTCGATTTCTTCATTCTCAGATTCATCTTCAGATATGCTTCCCATTGCAGCGAGTGCCTTTTTCATGGCTATGTCGGCCTTTTGATTTTTCATTCTCCGGTTATTGGGAATATATCTGTCTTTTTTGCCTTTTCTGGGTTGTTTTTCTTGTATTCTAAGGCCCATAGTGGACAAAATTTTATAAAGTGATCTGGACTACCACATTTATGACACAATTGTTCTCTTGAGTTTTCAACATTCTTCTGTGAACTCCTTTTTTTTAAAATGTTTGTCCCCTTTTTAACAATTGGGAGAATCTTTTGGCCATGAGTGCGATGTTTTCATCCTCAAAATCTTCAGAGGTGGTAGTTTTTAGAGTCGGATTCTTTTCTTTCCTTTTTCTACCAATCTCTCTTTCTTGATTTTTCTTCAGTTCGTAAGTTATGAGGTTTCCAATGAGCTCATACATAGCAAGCTTATCTAAGTCACGTGCTTCAGTAATTTCTTCAACTTTACTTTCCCATGATTCAGGTAAGACGCTCAAGAGTTTTCAGACTGCCTTTCCATTTGGAATTACTTCTCCTAGAGAGTAAATTTCATTGATGATCGCAGTGAATCTAGTGTGCATATCTTGAATAGTTTCTCCTTCCATCATTTGGAATAGGTCGTATTGTCTATTCAAATTGTCAATTTTTGATTTCTTAACCTGAGTTGTTCCTTCATGTGCAGTCTGCAAGGTTTCCCAGATTGACTTGGCATCTTGACAGGAAGAGATCCTGTTGTACTCGTCTGGTCCTATGCCACAAATTAGAATTTTCTTAGATTTTGCATTATTTTGAATTGCCAGTTTATCTGCGGCATCCCACTCCTTTCTCTCTTTTGGTACCATTGTTTCTCCATCAGGTCCCCTTTTCATAGGAATAGTAGGACCATCTAAGACTACACTCCAGAGATCAGGATTTTCTCCTATTAGATGATCCATCATGCGATTCTTCCACCATCCATAGTATTTTCCATTGAACAGTGGGAGTCGAGTTTGAGAAGCTCCTTCTTGGGGGTAGGTGGTGCTGCCATTTACTTTTCAAGATGTTAATCTTTTAGTTAAAAGATCCTGCTCTGATACCAATTGAAGAAACCTTACCCCTAAATCAAGAACCAGGTTCTTGATTTTTTGGTTAAGAAAAGAGTTAATTAAAACAATATACTTTAACTAAAACCTTCCTATCTCAAGGAAGGAAAAACTCAACTTTGTTTTATTAGTTTTTCTTACTCAATTACAATTTTCGATTAACTCTAATCGAATTCTCTAAATTTACAAAAAGCCAAGCCCACTTCTTGCAAAATTACTCACTAATCTACTCTCTCCACAAGAATTCAAACTCACTTCTTGTTTACAATCACACAAGCTTACGATCTTACTAAGAACAAAGTTCACAAGTTAATAAAACACACAGAACTCACAAAAACGCTCTTTGCTGCCTCTCTCTTAGTCTCACCTCACACTTTCTTCGATTGCAAAGAACTACCCTCTTTGTCTTGAAATCTCTGTTTATGTAGACTTTTGAACAAGAATTATTTCCTCTCTTTGATGTTGATAATGATTTTGATTTCTGTATCCTTCTTTGATATGAAAAAGAATTGCTTTCTTTTTTCTGTTTATACGCAACCTTTTCTGAAAGGGTTTTGTCTTCATATAAAGTACGCAACCTTTTCAGAAAAGGTTTTGTCTTATTTATTTATGGAAATAATTATTATATTCATTTATTTTTTCCATAAGTACATACGTGCCTTAATATTTGTACTTCGCCTCTTTTCAATTAGAACGACAACTGATTTAATAAATGAACCTGGTTCATAAGTGAATCAACATCAAAAGTATTTGTCATTACAATGAACCTGGTTTTATCATAAATGAACCTGGTTCATAATTGATGACATCAAAAGTATTTGTCATTATCAAAAGTTATTAACACAACTTCCATCATATGTGACACATCGACTTAAGATAAGAGATTTCAATAGACAAAACATAATATAAATATCGGATATATAAATAAGCACGTCTTACACCCTAATAACATGTGGTTCTACGCCTAAAGAATACAACATCACAAGAGGGTTGGATCGTCACTAGCATGATCCCAAAATGCCCCTCGTATAACTTAAGTGGGTCAAACATGTTCTTTTCTAGCGAACATATGTTTTTTAAACACGTTTTTACCTGATAATTTCTTTTATTTTTTAATAAAAACTTTTTTCTTGTTTTTTTCTTTCAAAAGCTCTTTAACTAACAGGAAAACATAAAGTAATTTAACTTCTACTTAATGTTGTTTTATCAATCAAAATAGAATAATCTCATGCACTTTTGTTTAGATGATAATAGAGACAAAAAATATTAAATCATAGTAACCTAATTTTTATATTCATTTAGAAAACAATAAAAAAAATTCTAATGAAATGGAATATATTTATTTCTTAACTTGTTGTAGTTGGAAAAATAAGTTTTTACATTTTTATGAGGATATTACTTCACTTCCTTTTTCTCCTATTAAAATGAGTTTTTAGTTGCAATAAATTAAATTGTAAGAAGAAGAACAAGATAGGTGTGTATTTGGTTACAAAGTGAAGGTTTTTATCCCTATTTTGACATTGCATTTTAAATATTTAAGAAAATGTGTGAAAATAATTTATTTTTCCTCTTTGAATTGAATGCTCTATATCAATAGTATTTTAATACGAAGTTTAAAAATGTTATAGAAATGCATTATCCTACTTATTAAAGATAATACATAAACTTTGTTTTTATAATGCAGATACTAAAGTATGACTAGTGTTTTTTCATCTCTACAAGGATTTGAATCCACTGATCTTCCATGATTTTTATTATCTTCATTGAAATCGTAAGATCACACCTCTTAGCTTTATAATACATATTTTTTCCCATTTTGAATATAGCTCACACCAAGAATGTTAAGTCAAAGCATATTTATCTCGAGTCTAACTGGTCATAATTTGGTTACTCAAAATGTAATGACAACATCAAAATTTCATCTTTTGTTGATTTAATGACGTAGAAATTTCAGATTTTTTTCAATGTATAAATAAAGCATAGTTTGGGGGTTGGTAATGCTTAGCTTATGAAATTGATGTAGTAGGCTTGAAATAACATATGTAAGAATTTAAGTTTATGAATTTTCATTATTGGTGATGGTTAAAATATCATATGTATTTGATTAATAGGTTAGATGATTAATATTGACTAGGTCATTAGATATAAGATATCTATAAGCGCTAGGAAGATAGAAGTGAACACAATGTAATGTGTGATTAATTACATGATATTATAGGGTTATTAAAGTGTTATATATTACCATTTAATATGCTGGAGTATTTAGGTGTAGAGGAGGCTAAGTATAGTATATCTTATGTGGCGTTCTTAAGAGTTTATTCAACGATTTAGAGATAAATGGTGTTGCATTTTTAGTAAAGTTTATCCTCCATTGATTCTGGAAAATGTGAACTTGGAGGAATATAAAGGAATAACTTCCGAACAATGATCATCATTAATCTCTATGAATTTATGACTTGTATCACTATGATATACAACTCTTAATGCATGCGTCTATTATTTCTTAATATGCTAAGTCTGATCTACATGATGACTAGTAAAATCTCAATACGTTAAGTATGTTTTCAGAACATATTTCTTAAACAACTTGTGCCTATATATGATTTTGCTTATTCTATACCCTACCTACGTTCACTCATATAGTTGTAACATATTCTTTGCTTATAATGCCTTGTTAGAATATATGCGTCCACTTATCAGTGAATGGACCAGGTCCCTTGACACACAAACAAGTATGAACAGAAAGTAAATGCAGTTTAACAACACAACAATTTTACGTGGAAACCTCCTTTTTTAAAGGAGTAACACCATGACCTGTCTCACAGGATTTTCACAACTGTTTCACTAATCTTTGCAAGCAAAAGTAAAACCAGTTACACAAATGTGAGAAAAAGTTTTTAATCTGACATTCAAGCAATAACTCTATTGCTTGATAAGCCTAAGTAGAAGTTATTCTACCCACTAAGTTATCCCTTCTAGACAACTTAGAATTTCGACACCACCACACTGATTCCTTTATAGATTTACGAATAGTTTACAATGTAAAACCACAAGAATATATTCTTAAACAACCACACGATATGCTCCTGGGTTTTCAGTTGTTGTTTGAATAATTCTTCACTTTAATTTTCTATAGCCTTTGCAAGTGTTCTTGAAAGTACTTTGTCAAGTTGCAAAAACTAAGGAATGATGTTTAGGAAAGTTACTTTGTATGGACATGTCCCTTTCCTTAAACTCTTGCCATTTGTTGGAGAGGTCTGACTTTTCTGACGCCGTTGGGAAATGCGCACCCACTTTCTGTACCTTCTCCAGCTGGCAGTCAACAGGCTATTCTTGTTAAGAACCTGGTACCTTTACAAGGTTCCTGAGTTGTAACATCATCAAAACTCATGTTGAGAACCTGGTACCTTCACAAGGTCCCTGAGTTTGTCATATCATCAAAACTACAAATAACATTTTCCCTATTTTGATGATGACAAACAATACTCAGGCACCACTCCAGCTTCATAACAAGTTCTCCTGGAATTACTAGTCCATTCTCCTAAAAAAGAAATTTCCCTCTGACTGTATTCCCCCTCACAAATAAGTCTACCACTTATTAGTTTTAATTCCCCCTTTTGGCATCATAAAAAAGAGATACAGTAACCAATATTATCAAAAATAATATCAGATAAGATCAAAGCTTGATAGCAATCAAACACAAAGGAAAGCATTCACAATAGATAATAGCTAGAACACCAGGGGAATAAGATAAATAGCATTCCAAGATAACATTTAATACATTATTACAAAACTGGGAATCCAACTACACAAAGACAAGCCACACAAGGAAAAGCACACATGAAACGATTGGGAAAGACTAAGAAGGGGGAGGTTGATGAGAAAGGGACTGAATAATGAGGGTGAGTCTATCATTTGCAGCATCATTATCCTTTTTTGCCTTTTCTTTCAAGGAAATAACCTTGGCCCTCAGCTCTGCATTTACCCTTTCCAGGGCTTGAACCACATAAGTACCAGGTCCATCTGTCTGTGCAGTGAGCAGTTCAACTTTGAGTATAACAATTTCAGCATCTTTTCCACTCAATCGCACAGTTAATTCCTCAAATTCATGCTTGAGTTGGTCCTGGTCTTCAATGAGTTGAGCCATTTTGCTCTTGGGATTTCCTTTCCCTTCAATACACTCACATTCAACCAGAGTATTCTTTGAAAAAGCTTGTTTCATTGTCCCAACCTTGCCAACGCTCAGAGGAATTTTGAAGTGTTTGAATACTTCATTAAGAAAGTATCCATATCCCATTCCATGTATTTCTTTCCTCTCAATGACCGTCTTGTACATGTGCTCAAGAATAAGCCCTGGGAGATTCAGAGATTCAAATCTGCACAACAACTCCATCATAAACAAATCAGCAGAAGTAGCTGAAGTCCTCTTTTCAATTCGAGGAAGTAGAGTTTTGTTTACAAAGTCAAACACCAATTGATACTCACTCTTCATCATCTTCTTAAAAATCCCAGCACACTTTGTTGTGAGAAGCTTTGAAACCAATGCCACAAACTCAGCCGAACATGTTTTCCCAATGACAGACCTGGTACCCTCTCGAGGTACTCTGAGAATTTTTCCCAACCGAAACTAATCCAGATGCACTGCAATATCATTCACTCTGGTAAGGATACTCCCATCTTCCTCAAAGTGAATGTTGTAGTAGAATTCACGCACTTCCTCTTCATGAAGAATAGGAGATTTTCTGTTGAATATATGCATCCATGACTAAATCTCCACCATATCATGGAGAGAGTCCATTTTGGGAAGATTGATTATTCCCATGTCAGAGACTCTCCCATCAAGCACGGACTGC